ACCGTTCATGAGTTAGCCGTCACTTAATGTTGTTTTAGGAAACAAACCGATCAAGAAATCTAGAACTCGGAAAGTTCTTCCAGTAGCACACACTTTTAATATATCTACTTTTGTATTGTGAAAGTAGTCAATAAATCCTTGAGGAGTTTTTGCCGAAAATTTTAGGATTTAAGAAGTCGGTGCAATTCTTCTTTCTTATTTTTACGTACCGATCTCAAAGAGTCTCGTCAATGAACGAGAAAAGATAGTTGCGAGGCGACTATTGATTTGTCTGGCGACTATTGTTCACTCGAATGTCGGCTAGTCTGTCAACAAACTTCTGCGCATCTTGATCTCTTTTGAGATGCCGAAAAGAGTCGTGGGAATGGAAATTTTGTAATCTGAGCACATCGCTTTCCTATATTGAGATCGGCTCATGCCTCCGCTGCTCACGTTTTGAAGACCGTTTGGATCATTTGGAGTTCGGTCGCTCGTCATTGAAGAGACTCATATGGCATCTGACAGAGCTGAGAGGGAAGCTGATAGGCCGGGTTTATCGTTTGAACCAGCGAAAATCAGTTAGAGTGATCTTCAACACTGATCATCTTTTCTTTTTTTTTGAGAGGATGGAAGAATTAGCCTTGTTTCTACCACTTCTATTCTCTTCATTCCTATCTTTCTCATAGCTTGCAGAAGATTCGACGAACAATAAAAGTCGAACAGCTCATGGTACTATATGATCTGACATTTTCCGTTTCGGCCTTCCGCCACATTCCCTTGCAATCTCTAAAACGCACTTTTCGTCACAGTGTATGAAATCGTCATATATGTCACACAGGGCATTCGTGTGTATCATGTGGGACCTTGTACATTGCACAGCGGATTCGTGTACACCATACAGTGCCTTCGTGCACATTGTATATATCGTTCCTCCACATCATACACTGCGTTCGTGCACAAGTTTCTGCGGCCAACATTCATGATCAACAGGCAAACATATATGTATATATAGATGCGGTTTTTTCAAGGTAATATCATTTCGACCAGAAGAGGTGAGTATGTATTAGTGCAAACTAGCTTACTTATAGAACAGACTCTTCACGATGCATTGAACTATCTTACCCTCCATTTTCTCCACTTCACCAGTGCCCTATTTGATTTCATCATTTTATTGTTGTTTAATACTGATAACGCCGCTAAACTGAAATGAAATGTAGAGATTTCAGTTAAATCTCAAGAGACAACATTGTTGAATTTAGTCCAAGCTCTGCATCCCATGCCAGCAGTCGGTGGCTTAACGCAATCGGATGCACTGAAACTTCTTCGAGAGAAGGAAAATCTGGACCGCGGCTGGGTTGCGGCACTACTCCAGTGGTCCACAGAGAATGTTAGACATCGGAGCACTCTAAAAAAATAAGTTTTTTTGACCGAACTCGCTGGAACGGTTTGAAGGATCTCAAAAGGCAGTGAGATGTGTCCAAAGGTTTACAACACATTGCAAAACCCGTTTCCTACGGAGTGGAGATTACGAAAAGAGTAAGCATAAAATTGTGATGATAATTGTTTCGAAGGTCGCGCATCACGGATGAGTGTTCTACACCACGTTCTTTTCTATCCTTGTATCTCTCTCCATTCCTAACAAGCGATGGATTTCTTTTTTCTTTCCTCTTCTCCTCATTCTCTGCACGGCTTTTGCCCCTGTGTGCATGCACTGAGCAAGCCGATCGGTTTCGTAAGTTGCACATTGATCTTTTCAGGATAATTGCGAACATAATCCAAACAGCCGATGCGTGTAAAAACTGTCGGTTTCTTCTCTTTTCAGCGGTATTCTATCAAAATGAGCGATTGACCGAAACATAGGCAAAGTCTTCGAACACTCTGGCCCACACATTTTATTCGAAACCAGCGAATGCATGAGTTTGAGACCAAAAAATTGTAAATTCTGGCTTGAGTTCAGATACTTGAAGAAAGTTTCGAAGCGTCGTGCACCGAGCTTTTGATAGTTCTGTTAGTGTCTGAAGACGGTGCACGAAGTGTGTCACATCAGAAATAGTTCGGGCCAGAGTGTTCGAAGACTTTGCCTATGTTTCGATCAATTGCTCATTTTGATAGAATACCGCTTTTCATATAATTGTACACTCCTGTGTTAATTCTAGGTCATCATGTCTAACCATTCGACCGCTGTATTAGATTATGAACGTCATACTAATTTAGCTGTTAATACGAAGACTGCAGATGAATGCCGAAATTTGTCAGAGCTCAGGCGCGAAATCGATACCATCGATCATCTTATTGTAAAGTTGATCCATCATCGATTGGATTATGCCTTAGCAGCATTAAAATTCAAGCTGGATGGAAAGCCAATACCCGATAATAGACGAATTATTCAACAGCTCATTCAAAGACGGGAATGGGCCGAAAACTACGGGCTCGATCGAACATTTATTGAATCTTTGTTCAAATCAATGATTGATTGGTATATGTCGCAGCAAATAGCTTATTATAAAATGCTCCATCCCGGCGACGCGTCTGCGCAATTTAAAATTTGCTCACTGGCTGAATTAAAAGCAGTGGAATGCGATTTGGAGTGGATCGATGTTTTACATTACGGTCAACTATTACGCTCTGCTTATCGAAAAGCAGAAGACTTAGCTGAGCCTATTCTGGTTAGTTATACTCAGAAGACACCTATATTTT